TGTGTTTAGTTTAGTTCGAGTCATAAATATTAAAATTTTCCTTATTAGTAAAATTTTGAAGTTTAATTAACGTTCGATGAATATTAAAGTAATTTCTCTTTTCTTGTTTCGTCTTTAAGATTTTTTTTTTACTTTGATCGTATTTTATTAAATTTGTAATTTTTCTTTTCTATATAATGCAGTTTAAAAGTATTAGTCATAATAATAAATGGATATTATTTTTTCTAGTAACTTAATATATGTACTTTTACTTTTTTCATTTTTTTTTATTTTTTGTAAATGTCAAATCACGCGTTTAAATTTAATTTCATTGCAACGGTAAATAGAGATTTGATAAAAAAATAGATAGAAAATTCAATTGAAAAGTGCATCAACGAATTGGACGATTCATATGTTAGGCTACTTCTGTATCACTTGATTGTATGATTAATATAGTTTTGCTTTTTGTTACAGGTGATCATCGTTGGATTTAACGTTCACACCTTTTTGATTTTCTTCTATTTGAGCGCGTTAAATGGTTGCTATTTTAAAATATATATGTATAAACGCATTTCTGAAGGCACACGTATTAAATATTTTATGCAATTATTTGTAATTTTACAAAAATTGCAATTTTGTAAATTCACTTTGAAAGATTTTCGCGATTTTTTAATATAAAATATTGAATCAATAAAATAATGATTTGAATATGTAATTTATTTGATACTTCACTGACATGAAGTTTCTTAAAAGTAACGACAGGAGACGCTTTAGTTAAATTGACATTATTTCTTTTAATAAAATAAAAAATAGATAAAATATTATAAAAGTTATAAATATTACGAGATAATATAAAAGTTTTGAAGAGAACTTTTAGATGGATAATTTGTGTTAGAAGTTTCAACGTAATGATTGTTATAGGTAAGTCAAAAAAAAAAAAAAAAAGAAGGAAAATTTAATAATTTTATATTAAATTGATTAAAATAAATTTGTCAATTAAATATGTCAAACGTTAATATTTTTAGTTTGAATAAAATGGATCACATCGATAAAAATAAATCAATACCATCAAAAAGAGGTTATTATTCGGAAATTGTTACTGGTTAGTAAATTAAAATTACATATTCGAATATTTATAGATTAATATCTTTAATTAATAATATTTGAAGTATGGTTTATTTTTAGGTACATTGGAATGTCCCGTAAATCCAAGTTTAAATCTTCTTCCTACCGTACCAAGAAGAACCAAGCTCACCTGGCAAATATTAACCGAACAACACGGTGCTGTTGTTCAAAATCTTTTACCAACAAAATCAAAATATTTTTTAGGTGCAGCTGAAAGGTGGATAACTTTTCCCGAAGATAAATCAATCGTAAGTTTATTAACGTAGATTATAATAATTTTCAACTCGAAAATCTTATTTTTTACGAAACTGACATTGAATTATTTGCGTGTTATTATCGATAAAAAAAAAAAGATATTTCCGGCTGAGACATTTGCACCGAAAATACAAATGGAACAAAATGTTGAATCGAAACGTTTGCCACGAAATGTTGAAATGGAAAGACGTCGTAGGTTGTATAGAAATCAAAGTTTAGATGATGCTTTAAAAAATGAGGGTTTATCATCGTTTAATATTTTACCACCAAATGTTATTTCATCGTTATCAACGGATGAAGATAAATTTGGCTTGTATTCGAAGATAAATTATTTGCCTCTTGAGATATTTGACGACGAAGAATTTGACTGTCGGTAAAGAACATTTCTAGAATAGTGTTTTTTTTTTTTTTATCCAAAGTAATTTTATTATACAAGATACAATTTAAGATATTATTTACATTTTTTTTTCTTCCCGATAGAACATCAAATGATTGGATAAATTTAGGTTTGATCGATGATGTGCGATATCCTTTACCTGCTATGGCATTTGTTGAAAAATTGATAATTAACGAACGGAGTAATATTAATGATGATGATCATTTGTCCGATTTACAATTAGATAATTTATATGGATGGCAACTTTCAGCAGTAACTGATTATGATAGTAACAAAAAATTGTGGACCGTTTTAACGTTGGACGGTCATAAAAGAATTTTCTTATTGCCTAGGATATATATACGATTTTTAGCCGAGGATCCGAAAGTTTTTGCTAAACGAGTTGCAGCTGCAGTTAGAGATAGACAAATTGCGGAGACGTGTATTAGGTTCATTAATTTAATATTATTAATTGTTCTTTATTATTTAATTATATACGTCTAGTGTGTATGTGCGTGTGTGTGTGTGATATGATTTAAATCAATGTATTATTTTAATTACATTTCAAAAGGTTTTTATCATTCTTTTTTTTTTTTTTTGTAGATATAATTTTTATTTGGATTGTATGGAAATAAGTGATATGCCGACATTAAATGAAAATGAAAAGGAAATTATTATTTCACATTGTACGCGTCAAAGGGTTGTTAAATACAAAAGTCAAAATATCATTTCGGTATGTGCATATATTTTTTCTTTTTTTTTTTTTTAAATTACGTTGTGTTAAAATTTAAAAAATTTGTGTATAGTTAATGGACGAAATTGAACTTGATTATCGTCGAACTATGTGCGATCTTATGTGGAGAAGGGTAATCGAGCATTCTCCGGATATTTTTAAATTTATGCAAATAGAATTTTCTACGGATAAAATCGTAATACCACAAATGGGAAAAATTTCCACGAATATGAAGAATTTTGATGTAAGGAAAAACTTTATATATAAAAAAAATTTATCTAATTTTTATCTTTTCTTTTTTTCTTTGAAATATTTTATTAAAATATTTTATGAAAAATTAAATTAATCAGGAATTAAAACGTTATTTTCATTGGTTTACGTTATACGTATTACCGGAAGTTTACGATGCTATGCGTTGTGTAGTTAACGAATGTGCTCGAGTATCTAACATGAATTTATTCGTACATAATTATGGAAAATCAATGTCACTGACTGCATTCGAATCACAACAAAATCAAATGACACTAATGACTATGAAATATCTTAAAGAATTATGGTTGGATAAAATTATTCAATCAGTTAGAATGTGTTTAAGGGATGTTGGAAAGGGATGGTTTAATCTCGATCAAAAGTTTCCTGAAGTATACAACGTTATGAAATTAAAACGTCTCATGGATCTCATCATTTGTCATATGGAAGTATGTGCATTTTTGTTTTTTTGTTTCTTTTTTTAGGACAAGAATTTAAATATGTAATTAATACATTTGTATATTATTTTGTAGAATGCTTTAAGAAATCTCGTAGAAAATTCAGTTACTTTGTACTTTGAAATGTTAGAAGGTCCAGGAACTTGTGTGGTTGACGTTGATGATGATTTTATTTGGGGTGATGATTTAGTTAATACACAGTTTGATTGTAAAGTTTTTCCTGTATTTAATGTTGATCTTATGATGAATAGTAATGGAGCATATTATTCTACCGAATTAAATGATTTCGAAGTATATCAAATATTATAATAATGTTAGAAATGATATAATTTGTTTATAGTTTATTTATATTACTTTTTATTATTTTTAGCAAACTATTATATCTATTTTGGATAATTCATTGACATTGTGTCATCAAATAAGACAAGTACATCCATTTTTACTTACTTTCCTTAAATTTCCAGTAGAACTTTTTCTTAGTTCGGTTGGTTTGCTTGATACAAGAATATGTGAAATTAGAAATCGTTTGAAATTTGTTTATCAAAAAGGAATTATACCATTAAAAGCTTATGCCAAAGAATATTATAAATATTTAGAACTTTTTGAAATGAATGTTGAAAAATATGTCGAGTAAGTTAAAATAATTTTGTATTCGTTTAATTAATTTAACAATATTTTGTATTTAAAATAATGTATGAACAAAAATTACATTTTTTTTCTTTTTTTTCGTAGAAATTTTAAAAATGAAGAACATACGGCCATTGAGATAAAAGACGAAATTTCTTTTCATCGTAGAATGAAACTAAATTTAGAAAGTACTTTACCAAAAAATATTTTCATAGGTCCTTTTAACGTTAATGTGTATCCTTTGAAAGAATTTTTAATGTCAAAACGGGAGGATTGTTCTACAAAGTTACTCTTTATGTTCACTGAAAAACTTCGTTATAAAGTTGATGAGATTTTGTACGAATATATAGAAATAAGTGAAAAATTGAAGGAAGAATTGAGAAACGTTGAACATTTGTTCGATAAAAAAGAATGGATGGAAACAATTCCATTGACAGTAAAAGGAATTAATGAAAATATGCAAAAACTCAAAATTGAATTTGATATACTAGAACATTTTCGTTGGAATTTATCGGATGAAGATTTTAATGTCAGATGGGAAGCAATTGGTTTTCCTCGTAAAATAGAAGAATTGGTATATATATATTTTTCTATCGTATAATAATTGAAATTTTTATACAAGAAAAATCATTTATATATATAAAAATAGGTAGCAGAAACTGAGGAACGTTTTATATTAGAACAAGAGAAATTTTTAAAGATTCAAACCCAAGATGAAATACTGTTACAAGAAAAAATAGATTTGCTTGTTGGAAACGTAGCTAATGTTGCTTTACAAACAGATATTAATATGGTACATGATATTGCTATTGATATTAAAAGAATTTGGAAATTAATGAAAGAATGTCAAGAAACTGGTATAATGTTAAACGAACGTCAGAAACTTTTTGGAATTCCTGTTGTACCTTTTGAAAATCTTTCTAAATTAATGAAAGAATTTGAACAATATCGAACACTTTGGATTACGGCATCAGGTATGATGGTTACATGATGAAACATTCAAAATAATTGATTGAATATTTAAATTTTGATTTAAGATTGGTTAAAATGGTATGAAATATGGATGGAAAATCCTTTAATGACAATCGATGGTAGCAACATTGACAATTATGTTAATGAAATGTATAAAGGAATGTTACGAAGCATCAAAGTCTTCCAAGAATTTCCAAGTACGAAATTTGAGAAAGGGTCTCGATGATAATTGACCTAAATATTATTCGCGATTCGAATCGGTAATGAAGTTATTTCTATTTTGATCAGAGGTTGCTGCTGTAGCCGAGAATATAAAAGCTCAAATAGAAGATTTCAAGCCTTACATAGGGATGATACAAGCCCTTAGAAATCCAGGGATGAAACCACGACATTTTGAAGAACTCAGTGTTCTCACTGGAATACAAATGGCACTAACACCAACATTGACCTTTAATAATTTGATAGTTCTCGGTATTATGCATTTTGAAGATATTGTTACTAAGGTTGCTGATGAAGCTGAAAAAGAATATTCGATAGAAGGTATTTTGGATAAAATGATAAAAGCATGGGATGTTATTACGATGGATGTTATGCTTTATAAAAATACAGGTTCATATATATATATATATTTAATTGCACATCGATTAATTATAATATCAGATATGTTAATTTAATAATTATTTGAAATATTATTTTAATTATATCACAGGTACATATATTATGAAAATTTCCGATGAAATTTTAATGCTCTTAGATGATCATATTCAGAATGCTCAACAAATTAGTTTTAGTCCATTTAAAGCTGCATTTGAAGATAGATTCGAGGAGTGGGATTATAAATTGAAATTATCTCAAGAAGTAATATTATTATGGATAGAAGTACAAAAGTAAGTTTTGTAGATAAATTATGACGAGAGAGAATATCTTTATTTTATATATATTTTAAGACGTTGGATGTATTTGGAACCAATTTTTACTTCGGAAGATATTAGTAGACAATTACCCATAGAATCGAGAAAATTTAAAACCATGGATCGTAGTTGGAGACGAATTATGAAAACATCTCATGACTGTCCTTACGTAATTTATAGAATTTAATATAATTTAAAAAAAACTTGACACACATACACACAAAAATGTTTCGATATTCTTTTTAAAAATGATTAATTTTGTAGATAATGAAAATAAGTCCAGATAAATCATTATTAGAAAGTTTAAAAGAATGCATCAATTTGTTGGAAGTCGTGCAAAAGGGTTTGTCAGATTATTTGGAAACGAAACGTATGATTTTTCCACGATTTTTCTTTCTTAGCGACGAGGAATTACTCGAAATACTTGCGCAAACGAAAAATGTACATGCCGTACAACCACATCTTAAAAAGTGTTTTGAAAATATGAGAGAATTGAGATTTGAGGATGATTTAGCTATCACAAGAATGTATTCAGCCGAATATGAAGAAGTCGTATTAAGACCTACAATTTATCCCGAAGGAAATGTGGAAAATTGGTTGGGTTCGGTAGAAGAAACCATGCGTAATACATTAAGAGAAATTATAGGTGAAGCTTTAGAAATTGTTGAGGAAACTAGTAGAAAGGAGTGGGTGTATATGTGGCCAGGTCAAGTTGTACTTTGCGGTGGTCAAACTTATTGGACTGCTCATGTTGAGGATGCTATCAAAAATAATGAATTGCAATCATTTTACGAAGTTATGTTATCACAAGTAAATATCTAAAATTGTGAATTAATCTTGTTTACTTTTTACATGAAATTTATTATTTTGGTATTTTTGATAGTTGGATGAATTGCGTGAACTTGTAAGAAATCCACAAACCGAAATTCAAAGATTAATGTTAGAAGCTGTAATTATTATCGAAGTACACGCAAGAGACGTTTTATATAAGCTCATTCAAGAAAATGTTAAAAATATTAATGATTTCGATTGGATATCACAGTTACGTTATTATTGGGTTGACAATAGCGAATTAAAAGTTCGTGCTGTAAATGCAGAATTTTCATACGGGTAAATTTGATAGTAGATCATTTTTTTTTTTTTTTTTATATGTTATCAAGAATAGTTTGATAGTAAAATAAAATAAATAACTTGTTTAGTTACGAGTATTTGGGTAACAACGGTAGATTGGTTATAACACCTTTAACTGATCGATGTTATTTAACACTCACCGGTGCTCTTCATTTGAAATTTGGTGGTGCACCAGCTGGACCAGCTGGTACTGGAAAAACTGAAACTACTAAAGATTTGGCTAAAGCATTTGCCATTCAATGTGTTGTTTTTAATTGTTCCGATCAATTGGACTTTTTATCTATGGGAAAATTTTTCAAAGGTCTTGCTAGGTATATACAATCAAATATAAATATTAATTTATTTCTTATTTTACATTTTTTATTTTTTATTGGCTTGATAACTAAAGTAATTGTAGATTTCACCAATCATTTTCCTTGAAAAATCTGCAATTATTTAGTTATCAATATTTTACTTTGAATGCCATTCAAAGAAATAAATTAATCGTAAGGAAAAAAAAAACAATGTAGGGGTTTTATTTTTTTTTTATAGTGCAGGTGCATGGGCATGTTTCGATGAATTTAACAGAATAGATATCGAAGTATTATCGGTAATAGCACAACAAATAATGACTATTCAAAAAGCTCAACAAGTAAGAGCTGAAATGTTAGTTTCAATTTTTTTACATTGCTACTCTTTCAACCAATATTTCTTTGAACTGATTATTTTCACTCGATAATATTCATTCATTCCTTTATTTTCTTTAGATTCATATTTGAAGGTGTAGAAATTAGTCTTAAACCTTCCTGTGCTATTTTCATCACAATGAATCCAGGTTACGCTGGTCGTACAGAATTACCAGACAATTTAAAAGCACTTTTCCGTCCGGTTGCCATGATGGTGCCAAATTATGCTCTCATTGCTGAGATTTCTTTATTTTCTTACGGTTTTTCTGAAGCTAAAATTCTCGCTGGAAAGATAACGACCACATTTAAATTAAGCTCCGAACAATTAAGTACACAGGTGGTATATTTGTTTATTTATTTTTTTTTTTTTCTATTTTCTTTCTCGTGGCAAATTTTTTTGGGGGGAGGGTTTTTTTTTTTAATTATTACTCCATAATTCGTAGGATCATTATGATTTTGGTATGCGTGCTGTAAAAACTGTCATAGCGGTTGCTGGTAATTTAAAAAGAGAATTGAAAGATGTCGAAGAACAACAAATTTGTTTACGAGCATTGAGAGACGTCAATGTGCCCAAATTTTTAAGCGATGATCTTAAATTGTTTAACGGTAATATGATTTGTTTTATTAATTATTAGATACGCATGTTATATCGATTTATTTTTGTTTATATCTTGAAGGAATTGTATCTGACCTTTTTCCACAATTGACCGAATTACCTGTTGATTATGGAATACTCGAAGCGGAAATTCGTAAGACTATTTTAGAAAAGGGCTTGGAAGATGTTAATGGTATTTATTATAATGCGTAATTATTATTAAATAAGCAAATTTATTATTATTATTATTATTATTAAATATTGTATTGTGAATGTAGAATTTGTGAAGAAAGTTATTCAGTTATACGAAACTACTTTGGTACGTCATGGGTTAATGTTAGTTGGACCAACTGGATCTGGTAAAACAAAGGTAACATTATTTTATAAATTTATTTATTATAATTATTTGTTTTTTTTTTTTCGTCAAAAATACTTTACTAATGCATTCTCGGTACTTTGATTTTTGTTTGAATTTTTATTTTATTAAAGCGTAAAATTTAAATATTTGTTATTGAATATAATTGAGTGTTAAATATCACACTTGACAGAAATTAAAAATAATTATACATTTTCGTATTCGTATTCGTATTCGTATAATTCATTTGTATTTTTTTCTTTGTTTTTTTTTTTTTTTTATATACGAGAAATGTAGTCGAGAATTTTAGTCACTTATTTTGGTTACACCATATACAGTAAATTTATTAAATAAAGGATATTGAAAAATAAATATGTATATATATTCTAACCGTGTCAAATAAGATTATATTAATTAATACCGTATTGATTACGTATATAAAGTTCCCATAAACGAAGGGATTATTTATAGCGTATTCATAAAAAAAAAAAAAAAATATAGAAAAAAAAAATGAATAAACTTCATTCGTACGAACCGTATTTTTAATATTCTTTTTTTTTTTTATTTTCATCGCGTTTATAATTCAATTCCCAATCATTTGCATAATATTTGCAATAGTTGTTAATTTAGAATGTTAAAATAAACCACTACCAGGGTCATCATTTATTTTTACTTTATATAGGTATACGGTTAATTTGAATAAGTTGTAAAATAATTTTTATCCGATATACAGGGTGATTCAACAGATCTTGTCACCTAAATAACTTCTGGTAATAGAAAAGTGGATAAGAAAAAAGTTGCATGAAACATTAAAGATTATAATATGATATTAGTATTTTTTTTGTTAGGTTCAGTCATTTTTGAAATCTATTGGTCAACTTTGTTTTTTTTTAAATACAATGTTTTGTTAAGCAAGAACTAATGAATCACCCTATATGGTGTGGTGTATTAAATACTATTTCATATTATTTGCTCGTGAATGAAATATCGACAATTATTTCACCTCTTCTCGAAATTACATTTCGTTTCAATAAAAAACAAAAAAAAAGGAAATATATATTTCAATAGTTGGGGGAGGGGGGAGGGAAATATAAAAGTTATATAGAGGATATTTGTTTTTATATAAAACAAAAATGTTAAATAAATTTTGAGTAAAACTTTGAAATGATCAATAAGTAGTAATGATTGGTTAGTGGTCTTGTTCTGATGAGATGACGAAAGTTGTATATTTCAGATATCTAAAGTTTTCATTGGTTAGATGAAAGATCAATGGTTCGTAACATTAATTCCTTTTATAAGTCGAGGGGATTCAATGGCCCTTTACTTTTTCTCAATACCTTTTTCTTACTCTCTTTCTTTCTATTTTTTTCTTATTTTTTTTCTTTTTTTTTTTTTTTTTTAATTTGTCGAGAGGGTAGACGTACTTTTTAAGTAGGCGAATCGATTCGTGTATTTCCATCTCTGAAAAAGCATCGAAACGATAAATTGCTCATCGCCCTTTTCGTTAAAACTTACCTTTTAATTTCTTAACGAAGATTGTCACGTAATTTTTAATACGATTATTATGCTTCAAAATTTATTGATCCATAATAATTAGATGTATTATTATTATTATTATTATTGTTATTATTATAATTAAAGTGAGATGTGCATTGAAGAAATTTTTCTTTAATTAGGTAAGAAATTACATTTTTTTCTTCTTACAATTAAATGATTGGGTCATTTATTTATTATTTTATTGTTCATTCATATGTTCATGATCAATTGATATTTTTATTTTGCTTTTATCATTGAGATTATTTTAAAGAGGATTATTAATTCAAGGTTGGATAAAAAGAGATAGAGTTACATGGATTTTCAATAAAAGTTATATGTATATAAATAAATAATAAATAAAACGCATGAGATTATAATTAGAATTATTGCAAGAGTTTAATAAAAAAAAAAAATAATTGCAATAAAATTCGATGTAGAATTTTAATCGAAAATTTAAATAGAGCAATTATTTGATTGCTCGTGATAAAATAAATAAATAAAATACATAATTTTCGAAATAATAATAATAATAATTGTAATCGAATGAAAGATGTTTGAAAGAATTTTCGTTAAAAATTTTGAATGAATTATTTAACTGATATATTATTGTATTATCGTGTAGTTGAATTTTTTTTTGAAATGAAACTTTTCAGATTTTTCGTAATCGCGTTCAAATAAAAAATTTGTTGTTTTTTTTCTTCTTCTAAATTTTTGTTAATGCACTTAGTTAGAAACATAAATTCATTTTTAAGGGATGGATCGTTAGAATGGTACGTGTTTATTATCGAAATATGACAAAATAAGATTATTTTTATTTGAAATGGTAAGCCAAAATTGAAATAGTCGCATCTGCAAAACACGTGCGGTCAATAACCGAAACTATCATTAGGTATTCTATATTTATGTGGTAATCGTAATAAATATAAAATTAGACGGCAATTTAGAATTTCTTTCATGGAAAATTTCCCTAATAATTTTTCATCTTAAAGATTACGAAAATGTAGGATTATAAAATATTATTTGAAAATTCATTTTAAAGTAAAAACCAAATGAAAACAAAACATTTTAGAAAAAGAAGATCAATTTATTTATACAAATAAATAATAAACAACTAAAAGAAACAAATTATTTTTAAATTATTCTTAACATTATTTATACAATATTGTAATTTAATAAATTAGCATAATAAGAAAATAAATAATTAAAGCAGTGTTTTATAATATCGTACAACTTATATCCACAATAAATGCATTTAATTTTGGTTCTTTTGTTTGCTTGTTTGTTTGTTTGTTCAAATTTATATAATAAATCTATAAGAATTTAAGCAAATTTATTTAATATTATTTACTTTGCATACACACACATACACACACACACACACACACATATGTATGTACAAATACATAACTATATAAATAGATACGACAGTAAAACGATACATTCTGATCTCGTATCAATCAGAATGTTGCTTTGGTTATTACACTTTGACACTAAATCATATATTTTAAATTTAATTGAAATTGATTTACATATGTTTAACATCTATTGATTAAATTTTATCGTTCGTGTAATATTTCAGATCTTATATCAATAATAATAATAATAATAATAAGTAGAAATATTATTTTTTTATTTTGTTTTTTTTTTTTCCTTACAAAGAGACATATATTCAATTATATTATTATATAATATGCGATATCTTTTGAATTTATATAAATTTATTAATAAAATAATAATAATAATAATAAATAATTGTAATGGTAAATAGTATTTAATTAGGTTAATTATTACACGATTATTTAAAAAAAAAAAATTGTAGAAACTTTTTACGTAAAAGTTTAAAATTGATTTTTATTTCTACATACATGCATTTATATTATATCGCATTTTATATTTACACATTTACAGGAATGGATTAGATAGATTTATATTTAATTAATATATATGATATATATTTTTTTTACACAGTATTTGCGAGGAATTCCTATGTGTTATACAATCACAATTATTATTAACATTTAATAAGTCAAAAAGTTTTTGTGTTTGTTCGTGTTTTTATTTGTTTGTTTTGTTTTGTTTTGTTTTGTTTTGTTTGTATTTTTGTTCTTCCTGATTTGAGAATATTAGAACAGGTACGAGATAAATTTTCATAGTTTTGTTATTTATTCCAATACCGTTTACATTGTCTTTTAATATATTATCATTATTTTATTCGGTAACAATAATAGTTTAATATTAAACATTTTAGTAATTAATATCTACGCTCGATAGAGAGAGAGAGAAAGGATAATTCATGCGTGCACAAATGTTTATACGCATTGATTCAATTGTGCAATCATTTAAACACATAATTTAATTATCTACTTCATCTACTTTATTAACTACTATCATTTCAGTGAAATTAATTATCATCATCACAGACACACTACCTAAAACCAATTTTTACGCACAATAGAAAATTTCAATTAAATATTTAAATTAA